CATTTTGGCTGCTCATGATTTGTATAAAACTATTTTTCAGATTGTGGTAAGTGGTACACGTTGACAGCATGACAGTTTTTATTACTTGAGAAAGAATTTGAATACTATAGTGTGCAGAAATAAGTGATATAAAATTTGGCAGTATAGAAATAGTGCTATGGAGTTAATTAAGATATTAAATAAGATAAGAAGTTATGCCAATTAATATGAAGTTAATGAAGAATATTTGTTGTTTGTTTCAGGTCTTGTTTTTGGTGTCATTTTACATATTTATTCGATGCATGTGTAATGTTTTTATTTCGGTCGTCCTTTTGAAAAGACAAGACAGTTTTGGACTTAACGTTTGTATTTTACATTTTACCTTATTAGTCAATTTTATCTTAAGTATCATTCATACATGTCTTTAACCTCTTATCTGTCGGCATATGAGGCACAATAGAAAACACATTGTGTCTCGCGTATATCTACGTTCCGGCATACTAGGGATTAAAAGTAGTCCTATACATACTAAATTAACTATTCATACTTTCAAGTTTTGAAATATACAAATATCGAATTCATGTAGTTACTACAAAGAGACAATTACCTCCTCGTTTATCCAAAAACTATGTTCGGTTTCAGGAACTTTCTTGGGCTATAGCCTCATTCTTAGTGCTGTCGAAGAATATTTGGTTTATTGTTGCACAAAGTGCTTGCTGTGAGAAATTTCAAATGTCTATTGAAGAGGTGGAGACTGCGTGTTTTCAACTAATGATGAATAAAAGCTGTCCAGGTATAAAACTAAATCTTGTTGCCAACTAAACGGTTAATTCACGCGAATATACTGAGAAAAGTCCTACTAGTTTCAAGTCACAAAGGGGCTCTTCGTGAGTTAACCGCTAGTTTTAGCTATTAGAGTATGCGATAGTTTAAAAAAAAATTGTTTAATTGTCATTCATTATTGATGCTTTACTTGGTAAAATATGTAAATATAATTGACAAGCAAGTAAGTTTAGATCCGATTTTTGCCTTAAGCATAAATATTACAAGGTCTATGACCACGAAACGTCTAGGAGGTTCGATTCCCGTACGAAGCAAAGGTTTGTGTGATCCACAAATTGTTACTTCGATTCTGGGTGTCATGTGTATGTAAACTTGAATATTTGTAAACCCACCAATGACAAGACCAAATCTTAGTCTAGGGCAGTGATTTTTTAATGTAATAAAAGATTTATCATTTTTGACATCTTTAATCAGCACAAAGTCTGGCTATGCTCTTGTCCAAAGTAATACGGTCAATTTACACGAGCAATATTGTTTCATAACCACAACTGGGACTAATTCCATGCTGTTCTCTTACTACATAATTATATTCCTAAGAAGCTTCAAACTTCTAATTCTTCTAGTTTCTGCCCTTACACACCGATATTTGTTCCAAGTTAACTATGTCTTCTTTTGTCATTGTATCATAAAGTACGATAAAAATTGCTTAGTCACCTGCCACTTACATCTCTGCACCACCTTAAGGTCGACTGTCGGACAATGCTCAAGGCATTAAGACCCCCAGCACATGTGTTTCTTTGTACAAAAAAAAATATTGACTGAATCCTACTAAACCATCTTTTCAGAAAGTCATAAACGTCTTTGCAAGAACATTCTTCGTCTCAATGAAAGCTTTAGTAAAATGAGCGCATGTGGACTATTCTACGTTGACGCCGCTCTACTTATGGCTTTGTTGGAGGTCATCTCGAAATACATCATTACTATACTCCAATTTCTGTTTTTGTGAGATTTTACTAAGGTTGTAAGGTTTTGAGGAATTAAATAAAATTAAGATTTATTCTAACTTAATAATAGTAAATATGGTTAGTAAATAAAATATATAATTACTAGTGAAACATAATACGTATCATTTTTGCTTATGAGATAAGTCAGTGAAAGAGCAGACGGATCACCTAGTGGTATGCAATTGGCGCCGCCCATAGACACCCGAAACACCAGAGGCGTTACAAGTGCGTTTGTTACCGGCCTTTTGGGGATTGGGAAGGGAAGAAATTGGGCCTCTGGTAACCTCAATCACACGACGAAACATAACACATACAATATGTTGTTTTACGTCGGATTCCTGTGAGGTCGATCACTCCGGTTGAACTGGCTCATTGTTGCCGAAGCATGACTCTCCCACACTTATTTTATTGTTACGTGTGAAATAATCTTTAGATCTTCTTATGGCTAATAATGATCTTCACAGTGGAACAAAGGCATTCTAAACAGATCCCTTAGTAACAGCAAGGAGTCTGAAAGTACGTCTTGTCCTTCGCGAGTTGATAAGCTAGACGTTCTAATGGTTGTCTGAAACATGATAATTATTGATGTCTCTAGGCTGTATTCTAAAATTATGTGGCTATAAAGTAGCCCTTAATGCTCAAGTATTAGAGTTGCTTAATACGTTATTCTTCTGATAACGAAATTACTTGTGTAATTATAAATTGAGCATTATTAAAATTACTATATTTTTTACTTGCATGTTCAATGTAAATATATTTATTTTAACAATGCTTCACCAATGACTGACTACGTGTTGGAGCCGACATGCTTTAGGATATGAAAGGTGTACATTTTATTAAAATAAAAAAATTGATACATGATGATTTTGCTGCCCGTAGGATTTTACTAAATAATGAAGTTGAAAAGGATATGCAAGCAGTATTAAGACCATTAAATTTTTGTCCATGCTCCATTTTTGTATTCTAAGTACAGAATCTACCGTGACCGAATTAAATTAAATAGTTTCTTGTGTAACCTTATTGGTATCATTTGTTTGGTCACTATACGATTCATTGGTTTGTACACAATTATTTCAAGTTTTTATCCTTTAATTGCAAAACTGTCTCCACTTTTTTGTTGGTCAGCAACTTCTGTGACTACTCCTTCTACACCATGGGTTACATTATCAACACCTGGTTTAATATCACGAAGAGCAAAAACAATATACTGTTGGTTTTACAAATACAGTACTGCCACAGGATTCTCAAGATCAAACGTGAAAATCTTAAAAGTTAGATCACTCGCAATTGGATGTTTGTTATTATTTTGTACATCTTCTATATTGGTTATATCATGTATAGTTATTTCGAATATCCTATCTCGTCTCATCGCAACATTTTGCGTAATTGTATTTGTTATGAATATCGTTTATGCTACTCAACTCATAAGATTATTGACGGAAACAATGAAAATTTGGATTATGGAAGTTAAAGAAGCGAAAACTGCTAATCCAATACATGCTGAAAGCTACTGGAATTTGATGTTTGAAGTGCATCAAATAATTTATAACTCTTATATCGTGTGGTCAGGTCGTCATATTCTAATTATTATAACGGTTTGACGAGGAACTGGACTAGTTTCAAGCCATGTTACAGACTCATATTCATGAGTGCTGCTCATGAATAGGAGGAGCGCGACAGTCGCCGTGTCGCGTATTGCGGTATTCTGCTCATGAATATAAACCTCTAGCACAGCATGAAACTACTCGAGTCGAGAGAGAAAACATAATAATGAATTTTATATCTCTCACGAAAATTCTTGTCAAATATAATAATAATAAAATAATAGTCATAATATGAAATCGTTTAAGAAAGCTTCAGAATTATATATTTCTTTTATCTGATTTGTTATTTTTAATCTAGGTTCCTTCTATTTTCTCTCGTTTTTGTTAAATTACATAATTAACTGGTTTTTATATTTCAATAGAGTCGAAAAACTAAATGTGTAAGAATATCAGAAGATTACACAGATCACCGTTTATGGAGATGTCTGGATGTGGCCTGTTCAAGATAAACGCAACGCTTCCTATTGACTTATCCAGATACATTGTGAATTATATCATCGTGTTCCTTGGCTTTGCATTTTTGTAATGGTATTTTTTGATATTAAAACTTGTTTTTGAGTCAACAAAGTATGTCGAAACATTAATTGTATATAAACTTACTTTTATATCATTCTGACTTATTTGTATATCATTTATTAATCATAAGACCATGATTGAGAATTAAAAACAACGTTGGCTACGCGACGTCGCCGCGTCTGCGCACGCTTTCACGTTATTTAACCAGTGTTTTTAATTAATTCAGTTCGTCTCACGATAGTTATTATAAAAATTTAATTCACAATGTTCCTGTACTATTCATTAAAAACAAAATTTGCTAATCAATATCAAATAGTCGTGTACGCAATTCCTTAAAAAGATATCTTTAATTAGATCACCTAGGGCAGCCATGTATTGTCATATTATTATAATGAATGAACTTTTAATGTCCAGTGAGTTGTCGTAACCTGTCATAATATTAACGATTGTGTTGATATCACACGTCAAACTAACTGATATGATCAGTATATCTTTGAAATGACATTTACTTTCGAAAAATTGTAGTTGCTAATTGCTGTCGATAGAAGAATAGTTATATTTAATAAAAATGAAAATTCTACCAAAAAGACCGTTCCAAGTTTTGGTAATCAAGAACCGTTTGGAAAAAAGCATAAAGATGCTAGCAAATTCCTTAAATATTGTACCCAATTTATTCTGGAGTTCGAAGTATAGTATTATGAATAATCATATTTATCCACGTGGCAAGACGTATGACGTCGTAGCATTCTTTATTATGATCTGCCTCAACAGTGTGTGCATTTATCGGACTCTCGTTTTAGACGACGTTGATGAAGATGTACCCAAACTAGAGAGGGCGCTCTTATCTGCCTTTAATTTCTTTTACGTTATCTATTTCATGATTGGGTTCACTATGAACTTCATCTTGACTTTTGCGTATAAACAAGAAAACATTTCCCTCATTCTCAAGATCCAATCCATCTATTTGGGTATTGGTTTCCGTAAGAGAATCAGAGGATTTATCATATGGAGCTGGATTTCCATCATTGCCCTTCTTTTTACTGATTTTTTTATTTATGTTATCTATTATACCTCAGCTGAATTTTTTTTCATATACGAGTGTATTTGCGACGCCATGTTTATTGCTTTAGATGTCAGTATAGTTGTGTCCATGCGTTTTATCATACTATTGAGGAAATATGTTGAAGAATGGATTAAGCAGGCCCTCATGGTGAACTATGGAAGACAAGATGGCGAACGCTGCAACAAATTGTTTAGGATATACAAAAACATTTTAAAAGCTTACGTTTTGTATAAGAAAATTTTCCATGTTTTGGTAAGTCAAAAATATTATTATAATATTTTGTTAACTGGTGTGAGTTTATCAGAAAATAGATGAGGGCTTTTAAATCCACATAAATAATAATTATATTTGTAGTTATTTACTATTGTCTGAGTTTTTAGCAAACAGGTTTATATATATATTATTATATTCATTATTGAAGAAGGACTATACTATCTAACCAGATTCAGGGCTCTTGCCTGATGGTCGTGTGTGGGCATTGCTCGCCATCTATTAGATTAGGCTGTAATTTCCTTATAAATCTTTTATTTGCAGGTGTTCTATCACTCGTTTGGTGTATTTTATCGCAATCTTGTCTACTTTCACATAATTTTGTCTGCGGTGAGAATGTTTTATGGAAACGGGGATGACGTAAGTATATTAGACTGATTTCTTTTATGTGAAAAGCCTGTAAATGAGCTGACGGATTACCTGATGATCAGCAATAGGCGGCGCCTTAGACACCTGGAACACCAGAGGCGTTAGAAGTGCGGTATCAGCCTTTCGGGGATTAGGAATTTGAAGGATTTTTGGATTTTCAGGAATGGGGTACAGTGCCGAAGTGGGGAGGGTGTATTTGAGCCTCCGTTAACCTCACTCACACGACGAAACACAATGCAATATTTGTTTCACGTCGGTTTTCTGTGAGGCCGTAGTGTTAATTCAGTCGACCCGTGTAAATTATGCTTTTGTGTAAATTATCAAATCGAAGATATTTTCAAGTGATGTAGTCAAAAAAGAAAATAACTGTAATGACTATAATTTTTAAACTGCTTATCTTCTCTTACTACTCATATAGTCAGTACATTTCAATTTTTGTCTGAACTTCGTTTTATGGGTAACTGCCTGCCGGACAAAGTGTTTTTTTAAGGGGTGAAAATCATCGAATGACTGCTCCCGTCTGGTCGAGGCGGAAGGGAGTGTCAGACTCTTACTGACTAAAAACCACCACTTTCCTTCTCCTGCACGTCGAGCTGGAGCCCCGGTTACCCGTTAGGTTCTCCGCGACTCCGAATTGGCATCGGCCCTGTTGGGCCCCATCTGTGGTGGTCTGATGGCTCTTTGAGGCGCGCGTGGAACGCGACGCGCCGTACGCTCGGGTCTGTTTCTGGTCGGACGGGGAGCCACCCATGTTCGCCGTCAGCAGGCCCGCGCTTACGGTGGCCGGAGATCGTCCCGCGATCCCCGACGCCCGGTGTGTCCTTCGCGATGGCTAGGTTGCGAGGAGCTAGCGCTTCGCTATCTATCGCGTCCCGCCTCCTCCTTAGCTGCCGGACAAAGTGTAGCATGTTCGGTCCTCAAAGCAACTTGTTGTGTGATCCACAAATTGTTATTTCGGGTCTGAGTGTTATGTGCATGAAAAGTATTTATACGCAACCACGACACAGGAAAAAATCCTACAGTGGGGCAACGTTAAAAAATATACATATCCCAGCATGTGAAAGAGCATATTTTCATACTTATTAAATTGAAAAACCAACAAATTAATGTATCTATTATTTTGCAGACTGTGTATAATATACTATCAGTATGCTTATGGCAAATGAAGAATATGTGTTTAATCATTCTGCAGTGTATATTATGTGAGAAGTTCTATATAAGCGTGGAGGAAGTGGATTCAGCTTGTATACAGCTTCTGAAAGATAAAACCTGTTCAAGTAAGTCTTGTAAGCAATAGGCACAATTTGTAAAGCTCCGTATTGTATAACATTTTTGAAATTGTCGAAACACAATTATCATTTCTCTTGCTACGCATCGCACATGTGCCTTGGTTAGTTTGATTTTATTTGAATTATTATAAACGTAGTAATATGAATATAGTTTCCATTTGAACCCTTCGTCAGTGGCAGAAACTTAACTCTCTCATCAACAATGACCATATTGTGAACACAAAACTCAATAGAAACCAAAATTTACAGTTAACAACAGACGATAAATTTACATGAGAATAAGAAATTGATTTTAACTAAAACGTTTCTTTCTCCCCAGAAAATACAAAACATTTTTGCAAGAACATCATCCGTTCAAATGAGACGTTCAATAAGATGACTGCATGCGGCATGTTCTCAATCGACGCTACGCTTCCACTGTCCTTGGCAGGAATCATCAGCAACTATGTTGTCGTATTGTTGCAGTTTAGTTTGAGTAAAATATATTAAAAATTCAGTACAATATGCCTTTAATTAAAAAAAAGATGAATTATTGATTTGGTGCGCGTGAACTACTTAGAGGCTTTTTTTGAGGGAAAATCGTCGAATGACTTTTCCCAGCCGGGTAAGGCGAGAGGGAGTGACAGGCTCTTACTGACTAAAAACCACCCCGTTCCTACTCCTGCTCTTCGAGCCAGAACCCCAGCAACCCGTTATGATCGTTCGTGAGATTGTAAAGCTAAAAATAAAAAGTAGAAAGAAATAAAAAGAAGTGCAATCAAAATATTATGATATCTGGTTTCATGTTAAGCGTTCGATACTCTTTAGAATGGTAATCATCGATCCAAATATGGTTTAGCAGACAGTTTTGTATTTCTTTAAAACAGTCCTTGCATTGCATTTAATGACATTTGGGCTCAATTACTTGAATGCTTTTAACATTATTAACATTTCATGAGCATCAAGGTAAAGTAACTCTAATGTTTGAGTTCTATCCAATACATAATCAATGTTTTATAATATTTATCGTTTTCTACTAACCGCTGGGAAACATGTTTCGAAAAAATCGTGTAATTTCATTTAAATTTACAAAACATCTTCGACATTTTTATGTAGGTAGTCAAATTCAAAGAATCTTCCGTCCTCTAAACTTGACGTTATCATTATTTTTGTGTTTCAAATTTAGAATCAGAAACAATTTGATCGTCACTACACCAGTGCCATGTTTATTAATGTTCTATGCAATTTGCATATTTTGTCTTATATCTTCTTGGCTTGCGTATTCTGAATATTACATTCTTCGGAACGCTGTGCTTATTGGCTATTACGTTCTTTATTTTGTCATCACGGGTATTGGTTTTACCACAATGTTCTTTGTGGAACTTTTCAACCGTCACGACAACTGTCTTTTACTTATATTGTTTCAAAGAATCCATGACGCCATTAACTTCAACAGCCATGTCCGAATTTACGTTATTTGGAACTGGATCTATGTCACAACAATAATTATATTTAATTTGATTATCTCAGCTCTTTATTACATCATTATGAATCAGTTCAGTTTGGTGACCTTTATTTCTGACATAACATATGTTTTACTTGATTTAAATGTAGTGTATGCCATTAGTGTCATATCATTGTTAACAAAGTACCTAGAAGAATGGAACAAATCTGTCCTAGAATTAAAAAATGTGCGAACGGATAATGCAAATGCACTGCACTATTGGAAAATGTATGAAACGTATCTAATTATTATGGATACTTATTGTTTGTATAAGAAGTTGTTTCGAGTATTGGTAAGTTGCTTTTGAACTGGTGTCATCGTCTGCCTTATTCTTTTTTTTTGATAGGGGATTATCTTCTACATCATGGGAAGACGTAACATCTCTCCTCTTGGGTGAGGCGAGAGGGATTGTTAGATTCTTGCTGATTAAAACAACCTCATTCCTACTCTTATTTCGCTAGTTGGAACTCTGGCCATCTGTTAAGACTTACGAAGCTCCAGTCGGGCTTCAGATAGCCCCACTGGACCCCATCTGAGGTGGTATGATGGCTCACGAAGCGCACGCGTAACGTGACGTGCCGTACAATCGGGTCTGGTTCTGTCCATATGGCGAGCTACCCTTGCTTGCCGTCCGCAGACCGAAGATCGTCGCACGATCCTTGACACTCGGAGTATCTTCTGCGGCTTGGATTGGATCACGTGTTCTGTATCCTTCTTAGCTGTCATGACTGTTTCACACAAAGAGAGGAGTTCTCAGTTCCCCTCGCTAACAGCGTGCGCCTAATTTTGTTTGTATTGTTGTTTCTTATTATTTCATGGTCATTATAGTCCATGCCTTCGTTTGATTACAGATGTTCTACCACGCCGTGGATACGTTCTACCGTACTATATTTTACAGTGGAACGTATTTGGAGATGCTTTACATGGACGATTCGAATGAGGGAGAAATGGTTACTATTTTTTAAATTGTTGTCACCGCGTTTTTAAACTATAGTAAATAATAGAATAGACTAATAGTTTATTTTGTTTAAAAAATTCATACTCACGTGAGCAAACTTACTTAAATAAGAAACACTACTTTTTCAAATCCCAACGAGTATTTTAGCGTATATATTTACCATTTATGGGACAACAGAGTCCCGGTCATTTGGGAGGTGTATGAGGAGGGGCCAAAGACCCTTTAGAAAAATTTAATCTAAATACAATGGAACACAAACCGACGACTATCCTGTATGCACTATGGATAAACAAGTAAAGACAATCCCCGGTTAGTGTAAAACTATTATGAAAAAAAGTAGGGCTATGGATTGGTTCGGCGGACTGATAAAATGGGAACTATGGATAACTATATGGCACCTGTCGAAACGATATAATTAATATCGTTTCGGCAATAGATTATAATTATTTACAAGCAGCGTGCGTGAGACTTATCTCATAAATAAGAGTTCCGTTGAAACTTGAAACGTAGAATTTTTTCTCATTTAGTTTTACAAAAAGTTTTCTGATAAAATTCTTTCAGTATGCTATGTGCACATTAGCCTTTTTATGGCTACCAAAGAATATGATCTTGATGATAAGCCTTAGTGTGTACTTTGAAAAGTTTTATATGACCGTTGAAGAAGTCAAGATAGCTTGTATTTTATTTCTAAAGGATACCAAATGCTCAAGTAAGTTACACTCAATACCATTCTTAGCCACAAGTCGTCCACTGCTGAATACAAATTACGCCTTTCAAACTAACTTCAAACTTTGCTGTTTTTTTACGGTTTGTTCGTCGTCTCCGGAAGGATGGGTTGACATGATTATATCCAGGCGTTCATCGCGTCGGTCATACACGGTTCTTCGGGATTAGGGATAACACCGGTTAAGATTTTATTATTTAAGGTTCTAGTGCTGTTGACAGAGGAGATCCTTAAATACGCGCCGGTAAACTAAGGCTGGATATTTTGCGGACGCCTAGAACACCAAAACAAATTGGTAGTGTGGCTTAAAGCCAAACACCGTCTTCCATATAAATATTCAAAAGTGAATAATGTCTTGTTCAATTGCTCGACAACCCAAATAAAATAAGCCATTTACAAATTCTCAAATTCTCAATTAACTAGGTGGCCCGTGTTCAGCAGTGGACTTGTACTGACTGGCTGATGATACCAGCAATTACGAATTTATCTTGCATAGGTATTTGTGACAAAGATCATCCTTAAAAATATTTGTAATCGTACAAAATAATTTTTAACAGATTACCAAACGGGTTTCTACAAGAAAGTGCTACAGACCAACCGCACGTTCAGTAAGATGACCGCGTGTGGCTTGTTCTACATCGACGCCATGTTGCCGATACGCATGTTGCTGCTCACCACTAATTACGTTATAGTACTCTTGCAGTTTGCTTTTACGTAGTGTATCTTTAAAAAAGTGAGAATTGATGTAAAACAAAAAGCTTGTGATACATCTTAACATGTTACCAGTCCGATGAATAGTTAGTAGATTATTGTGTATTGTTAGTTATCATGATGTCAAAAAAGTCAAGTCAAAAGTCAAAAATCATTTATTTCAATTAGACCAGGAAGGCACTTTTGAACGTCAGCAATAGAAATTTTTAAAAATGAAGCTATTTGCTCATTCCAAGGTGTAGATTCCTATGGAGAAGAACGAGCAAGAAACTCCATAGGTTACTCTTTTCCAATCAGTTTCACAATACAATTCTTCAGTTACACAGTTTTAGATTTAGATGAAAGTATCAAATGTAAAAATGTATTTAAAGTTTAACCTCAATTATTTGCATACTTTTATCTTTATTAATATTTCATGATCATCAAGATTAACTGCACCCTAGCGACTGTTTTGTCCAATAAATAAACATGTTGTTACAATTAACATCGTGTCTCTTTTATACTTATACGCTTAGAAACATGTTTCAAAAAATCGAGTCACCTCATTTAAATTTACAAAACATCTTCGACGTTTTATGTAGACAGTCAAATGCAAAGAATGTTCTATCCTCTGAACATGGCGTTATCACTTTTGCTGTGTTTGAAATTTAGGGTCAAAAACAATTTGATCATCCCTTCTCTAATAGCATGTTAATAACATTATATGCAATATGTATGAGTTTCCTTGGGGCTTCTACTTATATGTTATTTTTTAATATGACGACGTCAATTCACTTAGTTTAGCTATTATTATCGATGACATGCTTTACTATTATAACATAAATCGGTTATAGCACGGTGTTCTTCGTGAAACTTTTCAGTCGTCACAATAATTGTCTTTTACTTATAATGTTTCAAAGAATCCATAACTCCATTAACTCCAGCATTTGTGTCCATGTTTACGTCATTTGAAATTGGATCTCTGTTCTTACGACAATTATAATTAATTTGTTTATCTTAGCTCTTTTTTACAACATTTTGAATCAGTTTCATTTGGTAGCTGTTATTTCTGACGTAACATATACTTTACTTGATTTAAATGTAGTGTTTGCCATTAGTGTCATATCATTGCTAACAAAGTACCTAAGAGAGTGGGAGAAATCTGTGCTAGAATTGATAAATGTTCAAACGGATAATACAGATTCACTGAACTATGGAAAAATGTATGTAACATATCTAATTATTATGGACACATATTGTTTGTATAGGAAGTTGTTCCGAGTGTTGGTAAGTTCTTTTTTATCGTTGATGGGCCGACATTTGACCACTATGTCGCCTGGTAGTAAGCGATAATGCGGTCTACGATGGAGCACGTCGTCTATTAAGCGTTAAATTTTTGATTAACAGATACATTTAATAACATTTAATACATTTAATAACATCGTGAGCTTAAAGGGCATTGCTAAAAATGGCATATGAATCAAAACGCATGAAACAATTATTATAATTCTTAGTTATTTTAATAACATACATTGCAAATATTTCCATAGAACGGACACTCTTTTACTTTTTGCGTAAGTGTGGCCTGCGATTTGAGTTTCTGTGGCCCTACTGGCTAATTGCACTTCGCTGTCACCATTTAATATATTACTGCTTCCAATTGCACAATTTCTGTGTTTACAACTACACATCTTTTAAACGGCCAGGGTCACAACTGTTCAAGTCACCAAAATACACTCATAAATATTACAATTTGTTTGACATGTCAAAAAACCAATCTATCGATATAATTGCTAGTTCCGATATATGTAAATTGTAGTATTCATTCGATAAAAAGTAAGGTTACCAAACACGTGTTCAATGAGTGGAGTAATAATATAGAAATGGAATATAATGTGATAATTAAAAATGTACCAAGGCAACAGCAGTACAAGGAAGTGCTACTGAACAATATAGTCGATGAAGATTTACAATCATTACTTAGGCCGTTGGACCTGATGCAAAACATTTTTATCTGCGCAAAGTATTCTATGCGAGACAACTTCATAACCTCGAACAAACCTTTTTACAAATACTTTTCATTATTTTGTACGATCTGCTACTTAGGCGGTATAATTTATTTACTCGTCACGGTTATGGAGCTTATAGCTTCAGATCAATTTTATCTAAATCTATATTTACGTCTATTTTATCAATTTTGTTCTTGCTCTGTTGGGTACTTTGTTAACTGCATTTCTAATATCATTCATTGCAATAATAACGTGCTCTTAGTGTTGAAAATGCAACATGTTAAAAGAATTCTAAAAATTGATGGTAAACATCTCAAAAGCTTGTTAATCTTCAACTGGCTTTGTGTTGTCAATGTTAACATCTTGTACATCATAGAAAGATTTGACTTTACTGACGGATTTTCAGTTAATCCAATTGGTTTTATTGTACAAACGCCTAATATTTTCTTTGAAGTAAATATTGTTTATGCAACGTTTATTGTAAAATTGTTGAGGAAAATACTGACTGTTTGGGTGCAGAAAGTCAAAAAGCCGACCAAAGAAGAATCGCAAAGAGAAGATTATTGGGATGAATTGTTTCAAGTTTATTCAAATATACTGGAAGCTTACAATTTGTTTCAGGCCACGTATCGATTAATTGTGAGAGTAATTTTTGAAATTGAACATTTTACTGCCCTTTCTTGTCTATATCTTTTAATCTTATCATATCTTCTTCCATTTTCTTCTATTTCTTTCTAGTCAATCATACAGTTCATTATTCTCTTTACATATACTCTTCCCTTTCTACCTTTTACACTCAAATTCAATATACTCATTGTGTCATCTCTTGTTATAAATGTCCAGTGGAAAGTTGTACATTCGGATTTCGTCAATACGTGCTTGCTTGTTAAACATTGTTTCTTATTTTATTATTTTCTAATGAAACTTATAATATACAAAGAATACTTTATTTCCAGATTACATTCCAGACAATATTCACAATTTCATATAGCCTTATGACTGTGTCTATTGTGATTCAAATTAATCTATATTGGGGAGAAGGTACACCGATTGTAAGTTATTTTTAGTAACTTTTATTTTACGTTTTTGATTGAATTCAATATAAATATATAATAACGCACAATCGTTCCCTAAATGCCCCATGCGTCCTCAAAATTTTACATGATTGTACGAGACGTGTTTGAGAGTAATCGCTGGAAGCAAATCATCCGCTCCATATAAGCAATTTTGATGTAGACCACCATTCTCAGACATGAGCGAATGACCAGAGAGAGAGATGCATAATGATAATTATATTAAAATAACAAAAAATCGCGGGTTACTCACGTAAATATATATTGAGATAAGCTTTACTAGATTCGAACCACAGAGGGGTTCTTCCACATGAGTAGTGTGCGCGGTCGTGGTAAGGTTGTGCAGCCTACAGGCTAGCGTTGGCACTAGCATCGGTGTTGTTACTTGCGCTGCGACCTTTGCACCGACACCATGAGCGTTTGTTTCTAACTCTGGTGATGCAACGGCGTGTGCGACGATGTTAAAGCGCACGGTACGTTCACTACCATGGCGTGGGTAACCAGCGATTCATAGTTATTTTGGTGTGTCTCACAATAGTTATTATAATAATATATTGTGTATATATTTAAATGTGGGAGAGCCATGTTTCGACACGAATGGGCCGGCTCGACCGGAGTGATACCACGGCCTCACAGAAAAGCGACGTCAAGCAACGCTTGCGTTGTGTTTCGTCGTGTGAGTGAGGTTACCGGAGCTACCCTCCCCCCTTCCCCAATCTCCCCAATCCCCGAATACCCCACAATCCTCAAAGTCCTATTCCTTTAAAGGCCGGTAACGCCGATTTCTTACCATCAGGTGATCCGTCTGATCGTTTAACGGCTTATGCCATAAAAAATTAGGCATACGTATGTAATAATACAGCATTATGTAGCATTGTGCATCTCTCTTTTCCTGTTACTCTCTACGTAGCATATGAATGCTACTGCTAATGCAATGACTTTATACTAATACAGGTAATCGTTTCAGTCTTTAATGTTCATATTATCAAGCGTTGAGTGGCTAATCAAGAAAATAGTTTTGCTGACTTGTCTATGCAATGAATGTTCATCGTTTTACGATATTATGGATAAAACGCAACATTTACATCTAATGTTTATAGAATCCGCAGAAATATCAGGTATTTTTATGCATTTTTCTTATTTATCTTTAGTATTGTTAGTCAGATTAAATTTTATTAATCTGAGCTTATTTGTATTTCAACCAAAGCCGAAATGGTATGTAACTATTTTTGCATAAAACAACTGCTTCTTGAGATCCAGTTTTTAATGTGTGATAAGAAAATATTCTTAGTTTGAGTTTTCACTTGACTTTTTCCTACATTTTTTGCAATTGAGACCGATAATTATAATAGGTATAATAATAATAATACGTTTTTCGTATAAGCACACTGTATATAAAGGAGCCTTACTTATAAATTGCCCGCCATATATCCATAATCCATTTTCTTTTTTGTTCACAGATGCACAAATAAGAATGTTGAAAAACATCCAACGTCTGCAGAGAGCGTCGTTCAAGAAGATGAGTGCTTACGGCCTGTTTGTAGTAGACGCCACACTGCCGCTGCAGTTAGCCGGGATCATTAGCACATACACTATAGCGCAGTTACAACTAATAGTGCCACGAAACTAACATGAGAGTACAAATAAATAATTTTATAAATATATAATAGAAATATTTTTTTTAATTATAACTCTAACAAAGACTGCCTTTTTGCGCAATGTCGTTTATTGGTTGTTGAAGAAGATGAGTGCTTACGGCCTGTTTGTTATAGACGCCACACTAGCGCTGCTAGCCGGGATCATTAGCACATATACAATAACTCAGATACAATTAGAATTTACATTGACATAACTTTATTTATAATAACTATCGTGAGACATAAATTAACTAAATATGGCGGGTTATTTACGTGAATATACTGAGAAAAGATCTACTTGTTTCGAACTATAGAGGGTTTCTTCCTCGTGAGTAATATCCGGGTTTGTGCCGAACCCAGAATCGAAGCAACTACCCGCGCCGCTAGTTAACGTACCGTGCGCTTAAACATCATTGCACGCACCGCCATTGGAGTTGGAAGCAAACGCTTGTGGTGTCCGGCAGAGGGCGCGGTGAGCTCGCAGCGCAAGTAGCAACACCGATGTAAGCGCCTACGGTAGCCATTAGGCTGCGCAACATAGCCTATAGAAGAAACAAATATTCTCTTGCAATATTAGCTAAATACTAATAACAAATGTATAAAATACAGAAAGTTTACGGATGCACAAATAAAGATGTTAAAAACATCCAACGTCTGCGTCGAGCGTCGTTCAAGAAGATGAGTGCTTACGGCCTGTTTGTTGTAGACGCCACATTGCCGCTGCAGTTAGCTGGGATCATTAGCACATACATGTCGGAACGATGACTGTACGTTATTAGTACGGGATTTCAAATTACTACAAAACAAAGGACTAAGAACAAAATGAATAAAGATGGCGCGCTTCAACAATTAATTGTGACGTCAGGTCCTCCTAAAAATGGAGGAGATTGAGTGACTTTCAACATCGCACGACAGCAGGCACTCTTGGCTTTGACTCGGAACGAACAACAACACACTTAGAATACTGTCGGCCGAATAGTAATTGCAATCATTAGAATCAGTGCTGTGACATTGTCATTGAGATTACATTGTTTGAGATAATAACAGTGAATATTATTACAATGAAAGTGATCTAAACTTTGATGTATTTTAACCATTTTTAAACTTTGAAAGTGACTGAGACCTCTGAGTTTGTATCGGCATTTCTTCTCAGTATAGTCTGTAGGAACTTCCGGGTTAATTAAAATGTGAACAAGTAAAGGTGCACCGTCGAAAGTAAACTTTTAATTACAAAGATTTAATTGTTTTATTGCTGCATAAACATACCGCTACCGATAATTGTGACGAGGAGGGCTCTCGCTCAGCATCGCCCACACCATCCTACAGTTACAACTGGCTATACCAGAAAGTTAAAAAAATCTAAAAGTAAAAAAAAAATCTAATATACTTGAAACTTGCCTATTGTTGTCTACTAAAATAAATTATAAGTATTTATTGCATTTTATTGACCGGAAATTTTCAAAAATAATGATTACGACATTAAGTTTACCTCTACAGAAAATATTGTAATAAGTGATAATCATTAATTAAGTTAATTTATTATAAGCCACGTGAATAAAAGTAACGTACTTTGTATAAATAATTAAACATGAGGCGCTTTCGAAGCGACCAGTCAGTTAAGTACTAAAATCATTATCATTATAGCCACTCTGAGTGAATTACTTTATACACGCCTATTTTTGACCTTAATTTAACCTTGACAATAACCTTCCACTTGACATCTACCGTCACCTATTATGTGTAACACCGTTTTACTAAAATTAACTTTCATAGCCCCACACTGACAAGTTTTCTGTGACAATCTTTAGTAGAATACTATAGATTTGTTCAAAATGAGTTCTTCTCATATCCGTCTCCCAGCCTATAATTATATAGACAAAGATATACAGGCAATGCTTCGACCTTTTAACATTATGCACACCATTTGGTTCACGCCCAAATATCGCATTAAGGACAACTTGATATACCCCAACAATTTCATCACTTACTTCTTGTCTTTGCTCGGCACGATGACATTCATCTTCTTGCTTATTTATCAACTGTATCTGCTTTATGTGGAAGAAATTTCCACAAAAGTTTTCAAACTGAACTACTTTACTTTTAACTTAGAGTTCTTCTTCTCCTTCGCTGGATTTGTCACAAACTGTGCAGTCAACGTGTTCAAAATGAATGATAATATAAATTTGGTTTTGAGGCTTCACGATGTTCACGTCTTTCTAAATGTAACATATCATCTCAAACGATTTGTTCTTCTCAATTGGATCATTGTCATTTCTAGTTTTGGGTATAGTGTCATCAATGGCGCTATTGCCAATCTAGTTTTGGATCTTTCTGCTCTTAATTTTGTAACCTGTTTGAGTACTATTTGTTTTGAAATAAACTTTTTAAATGCCATAAGTTTAATGAAGTTTTTAAGTCATACAGTTGAATTGTGGAATAATCGAGTTCAAAATTTGGTGGATTATGAACAGGAGAACGCTGAAGTTTATGAAAGTAATATGTTTAATGCTTATGCAAATATTTTGGAGTGTTATGATCTTTACAGATCTAGTTTTGAGTATATGGTAAGTAAACTATACATCTGAAATGAAAAGTATTCAATTTGATTTCCTTACATTTGCAATTTTAAAATGCGTGATATCAGGAAAACTTAAGAATTGTGTGATGCCCCCCAAAAGCCGCAATAAAACTCCTCTTATTGTTTTGGTAATAAAGGCAACTGATCGGTCCACTTGAAGTCTATCTCATAAAAAGCTCAAGCTATAGATAGACATATTATAATGACGTATAAAACTTTTGGTTTCCATTTCAGATTGTTTATCATATATTGGAGTTCTTCTTTCATGCTTTAGTACGATTTCAAATGTCGTTTGATTTGTTTAATTCATCTGAAGCCAAAGAAAAACATGACTTTGTAAGTAATAATTTGTATTAAGTTTGAGCTCACAATCAATATCATGCTCACTATAGTTACGACTGACTAAAATGTATCTGTCACGACTCCTACTCTTCCGTGTTTAAATAACCGACAGAGGCAGAGATTTGGTGATCTCTAATAAACTCGAACAATTTTATAGGAAGATTTTCATCTTGCGCGACATACCGTGGTTTTCAACCCGACTCCTAGACTTGGAGAATGTAACAATATTCTTCCTGAGGATGCCTTTGATACAATAAAGGACTGTTTGGCAGTTGACACACCCAACATACGATTTCGATTACGATTAAATTGGTCGATCGATCTTCATATTAGTTTTTAGTCTTTCTGTGGTACTTGACGACTGTGCTTCTCCCAGTTGTCCAGTTTCTTTTTGAACCTGACCCTTAGGCTTAATTTATTTTGTCTCCTGCAGTAATTCACCGAGGGAAGTGGAAACTATCGTTTTTTTTCTTCTCTTCTAATATGTTCTGATTCATTTCGTTGTGGGCACCAAGGGAGTTGTTCATGTACCTGAGACGCGCCGCAACTTCAGTATTTCAGTGTGTTCATGGTTGTATCTATTATCTTAGCCAATAGCCTGTATCCTAGCTTACCTGTGGCGGGCTGGGACTATAAAAAAGAACTGTTTTCCGTATCAGCATAATAATTTACGTATGATTTATGTTCACAGAAGGCAGCGTGGGTTTTCTCTTCTTTTCTGGACATATGGATAGTTAAAAGCTTGATTTTATTAATTTCTTTGAGCTATTACTACGAAAAGTTTTATACAGCGATTTATAATATTCAAAACTCTAGCTCAATTATTCTTAAACAAAATTGCTCAGGTAAGAAGTTCTTTACATGGATTTTTTTAAATTTATAACGATGGAAGTATAAAAATAATGTTGTTTTTTTGAACTGAAAAGTTCTTTATCGGCATTGTACCCTTTTTTGTAATGGGTAAAAAATATTAAATTCGCGTCAGGACACGTGACTTAATTGAAAATTCGTTAGACGGATGGAGCGCAGGGCGCTTGCGCGAATGTTCGTGAGTGTTTATGTGTATAATTGAATTTTTAAATAATGAATTTGGTTTAACTATGTCAAATGATCGCCATCTTAGCACAACGTAATAAATACAAAACTGCAATTGATGTGGCCTTTATTAGACATTTAAATAGGTTCGCATCAAAACTGTTAGTTTTTTACTTCAGC